TTATCAACTCATGGTCAATTTTGCTTATTTTTTTACCACCATCTTTTTCATTATTATTCATTACCGTATTTGATCGACAAATCATAATTGTATATATTTATCTGGCACAATGTGATATTTCAATATATATATATATATACACACGCACACAATGTGGAATGACTAAATCAAACCAATTAACATAGTCATCACCTCACTTACCTATCATTTTTTGTGATGAGACATTTGAAAACTACTCTCTCAGTTATTTTGAAATATACCGTACATTACTGCTGACTATAGTCGCCCTGCTGTGCAATAGATCTCAAAACATATTCTTCCTGTCTATCTGAAACTTTGTACTTTTTGGTCAATAGCTCCCCATTCCCTCCCTCCCCACCCCCAGCCTCTGGTAACCACCATTCTGTCCTCTACATCTATGGATTCAAGTTTATTAGATTTCACGTATAAGTGAGATCACGGGGTAATTGCCTTTCTATACCTGGTTTATTTCACCTAGCGTAATATCCTCCAGATTCATTCATGGTCAATTTTAATTCACTCCCTGTTTTCCCCACTAGATTATTTTGCTGTAAATCTGATATATTATTTCATCTGTGTTTCAGTATGTTTTTTTAAAAATGAGCTTTTTTAAAAAACATAATTGTACCATCATCATATCTAAAGCATTAACGTTAATTACATAATTTCATATCATCAGTGTTCAGGTTTCCCTGATTCCCCCCCCAGTATTTGTAAGAATCAAGATCCAAATGAGTTGATGTAATCACAATTAGTTGACAGATTTTTGTATCAGCTATGCTGGCTTCATAAATAAGTTGGGAAGTGTTTTTCTCTATTTTCTGAAAAAGTTTGTATGAAATTGTATATTTCTTTCTTAAATGCTTGATAGAATTCGCAATGAAGGCATCTGAGCCTGATGTTTGTTTTAGTGGAAAAGTTTTGGTTTATGGATTCAATTTTTTAAAATAAATATACAGTTATCAATATTTAAAAATTCTTATTGAGTTAGTTTCTGTGAATTGTGTTTTTCAGAGAATTCATTCATTTTATCTAACTTATCAAATTCATTAGCATACAGTTGTTTATAATATTCTCTTGTTATCATTTTAATGTTTATAGTATCAGTAGTGATGTCTTTTCTAATCATTCCTAATACTGATAAGATACCTTTTCTACCTTTTTTCTTTGTATATATTCCTAATTTTTTATTGACATTTTTAATGTTTTCTAAGAACCAAATTTTGGCTTTACTGATTTTCTTTGTTTTCTATTTTATTAATTTGTGCTGTTATGTTGTTTCTTCTACTTTTGGTTTAAATTTTCTAGCTTCTTAAGATAGAAGCTTAGGACACCGGTTTTCAATTGTTCTTATTTTATTTTGTTTTTTAATTTTAACGTTTACTTGTGCATATTTGAGGGGTACAGTGTGTTGTTTCAATACATACACGCACTGCACAATGATTCACTAAGGGTAGAGAGCATAGTTTTGTACTTGTTAGTCCACCACTTCCCCCTCTCCATCTTTCTTATTTTATAATGCAAACATTTAAAGTCACCTTGAGGGGTACAGTGTGTTGTTTCAATACATACACGCACTGCACAATGATTCACTAAGGGTAGAGAGCATAGTTTTGTACTCGTTAGTCCACCACTTCCCCCTCTCCATCTTTCTTATTTTATAATGCAAACATTTAAAGTCACAAATTTTGCTTTAAGCAGTACTTCATCTGTATCCCACAGATTTTGATACCTTGTATTTTTATTATCATTCACTTCAAAATATTTTCTAATTTCTCTTGTGATTTCTTTTATCCGTAGGTTATTTAGAGATATATTGCTTAATTTTCAAATATTTAGAGATTTTCTAACATATCCTTTTGTTATTGCTTTCTAATTAATACTGTTTCAATCAGAGAACTGTTATGCTTTTAATCTTTTGAAATTTATTGAGATTTGTTTTATGGCCCAGGTTATGGTCTGTCTTGCTGAACATTCCATGTACTCCTAAAAAGAATGTACATTGTGCAGCTGTTGGATGCAATGTTCTATAAATGTCAAAGGTTCCATTGGTTAATAGTATTGCTCAAATATTCTTTATCTTTACTGATTTTTTTTACTTGTTCTATTAATTACTGAGAGAGAGAAGTTAAAATCTACAAATAAAACAACGATTTTTCTATTTTGCCAATTCTACCAGTTTTTAGTAGGTGTATTTTGAAGCTCTTTTAAAGTCTCTTTTAATTTATAATCTCCCTCCTTCTTTTCCCTTTAAATTGCAACTTATTTGTTGAAGAAACTGGATTATTTGTACTGTCAAGTTTTCCAGGTTCTTGTTTTCACTGATTGCATATGCATGGGGTTATTTAATGTTCCTGAAGTCCTCTGTATTTCTTGTAAACTACTAAGTTAGATCTAGAAGCATTTTCAGACTCTAGTTCTACTTTTTAGAAATAATATTTCATAGGCAGTGTCTATAAATTTATTGATAATCATTCTAGGTTTATTATTTTATTAGGGCTATAAAATGGGGTATTCTAATTCCATTATTTCTTATTAATTAGATGGAATACTCCTATAAAGAGAAACTTTCTCTTGTTGACTATTTGATTATCCTGAAAAAAACAGTTTTCATAGGAAAGACAGAATAAATTTCTGATTTTTCCCCTTTACTTATCAGTTTGAAAAATAATAAATTGCTTCCCAACTATCCTTCTAAACTGAGATTTTAAAAAAATTAATTAGGAATTCATGAATTTGTACATTTGGTGTTATTTCATACCACTATGAATTATATTATTATTGACGTTCAGATTGTCACATTTTTGTCCAGCAGGAGCCTCCTCAAATTGTCTCCTGATTTCTCAACCTTGGCTGCACATTGGATTCACTTGGGGAGCTTTAAAAAATACTGAAGCCAGGCTCTCCATCCTCATGATTTCGAGTTAATCAGCTTGTTGAGTGGCCCAGTCATCAGGATTTTAAAAATCTCCTCTGGTGATTTTAATGTGCAGTCAAAGTTGAGAACTTCTGATGCAATAGTTTTAGAATAGCAATTCCAACATTGTAACTAATAATATGATGGGCCAAAAAACAGTTAATTTTTTTTTCTTTGCAGTTCTTTCTTTCCTTAGGGTGCATCCCAGTAAGGACATATGTTAGATTATTGTGTTTTTAAAGTCTTACGTTGTTTTTCTGTGTATGGTTAAAACACAATTTGATAAACAGATAGGTTCAATTTATTTCATTTTGCTTTTGATTTTAAGGCTTTTTAAAAATTTTTTATAATTATGTAGAATATTTACATGTTTCCAAAATCAAATGTATAAATTGAAATACGTTAAAAGAAGTCTGACTTATATCACTGTCTCTTTTACCGTTTCCTCTCTCTCCTTAACTATTTTTTTGTTTGCTTTTGATTCATCCTTCCATTACTTGTCCTACCAGACATCACAAATAATCATTAACATTCTATTTCATTTTCCTTTTTGTCTTTTTTTTTTCATGTCCGGCAACGGATCGCAACCCTCAGTGTCGCACCCATACCGGACTGGGACCAGCAACGGGATCGCAACCCTCGGTGTTGCTCCCACACCTCGCTCAGCCAGTGAGCGGGAACCGGTCTGTATGTGGGATCCGAACCCTCGGCAGGAGCGCCACCACGCTCCCAAGCGGCGCACTGTAGCAGTGCGCCACCGGGCCGGCCCTAACATTCTATTTCAATAGTTGAACTTCTTAATCTCAAAAAGAGACAAGTCATTTTCATTCATTTTTTGGAAAATAAGATGTCATATTATTTCTCAAAAAAGAAAATATAATATACCCCTCCACTTCTTAGATGAACGGTAGCAAATTATACAGACTTTTCTCTATCTAGGTTCCATCTTAGCAACATACATCTTACTAAAGTGTCTTTCAAGGACTGGTAAAATAGTGTATTTTTCTGCATAGTAAGTACCTTTCAACTCCATTCAGCCTGAACAGCTACCTCATAGTATCAAACAGTTGCTTAGCTTAATTACAGTATAAATTCTTTTCCCTGTATTTAATTTAGCCAGTGTTGGACTGAGTATGGTGTCTGAGGGTAGAAATCACAAACACATCGACTTAACTCATCAAATACAATTTTTAAAACTCCATTTGTTTTTGTAACATTTACGAAATTCGGACCTCGTTTCAGGCAAGTGGGTGTAGAGGTAAGTGCCCTATAAATATCACTTCCTTCCTTGATAATTTTTGAGAAGTATTTTTTATTGTGCATATTTCACGGTTATCCATGCATTCTCTTTTCTTCTGCAGTTACAGGATTTGATCTGTGGGGTGTAGTAGCCGCAACGGGGGTGGTCTGCACATTCTACTGCACACTGGTATGTCAAGGCCATTATTTCCCCTTTCACTCTAACTACATGCTTTGCAAAATTCCAGTAGTTGTGTGCTGCAAACTGGGTTGTTCATACCTACTCTCCCACTTCTGACCTCATACTGTATACTTTTTCTGTCAGGAATATTTGGTCTGGGGTAAAATTTGATCCTCTGTAGGACATGGATCATAACTGAAATTTTTCTTTCATCTGAGCTATTGCATTGGTCCCCTAATCTTGCCTCCTGATTTATCCTTACTGTTGCCAAGTTATTATAGTTGAGCTTATATTTTTCCGCAGCTTAGAAACCTGTGGTAAGTTCCTGCTGCCTATAGGCAGGGGTGACAAGATATGCAACAACCAGTATGGGCTGGCACTGATATTATCATGGATGCTGGTCATTAGCAGTGATGCAAGTCTTATGGGATCCCTGATATTCTTGATCTTAACCTTTCGTTGCTGGATCTTGTAGAAGACAGGGTCCTTGGGCAGGGGCTGGTTCAGACTAGGTCATATGAGCTGGAGGGGTACACTTGGGAAGTTTTGGCAGTGGCTAGTACAAAACAGTTTTATTATTTAACAACTGATATGACCATCTGGGTTCATACTGATTGAATATCAGCCCTGCCTATACAATAAAATCCATGATATTGACTTTTGCAATTTGACTATGAATTTTCTTCCCAACAATCTCCCCACACCACTCCACTTCATTCCATAATATATATATGGCCACATTTAACATGCTATGTAGTTTGACCCCTCTGTGCTTTTATTTCTGCTATTTCCTTCTGCTGGGAGGACCTTCCATCTTTGCCTCCGCTTATATTTGAAGGTGTGGCTTAAATATCTCTTTCTCTTTGAAGGTTCTCCCAACTTGACCATCTCCCTTGAGAGTACTTCTTGGCCAAGATCCATGTTTTCATTTTTGTCCAGCATAGTGTATAAGCAGGTAGAAGCTTACAAATGTCTGATAGAAGCATTAATCCTAATACACTTTCCCCCTCAAAGGGTGGTCTTAAAGCGGTTGTGTGGACAGATGTTTTTCAAGCTGGGATCATGCTGGCGGGATACACGTCAGTGATTATACAGGCTGCGGTGATTCAAGGTGGCATCAACACTATTTTTAATGATGCCTATAATGGTGGAAGATTAAACATCTGGAAGTAAGTTGCTATTTATCTCTTGGCTAATAGAACACCTGTTTTGTTTTCTCTGAAAAATAATCTCTTTATCAAAATAGTAGGTTTACATTATAAAACCTACTATTCAAATAAACCAACAAATCACTAAAGATGTGGTACAGCAAATTGAAGCTGACAAATATGAGGGTACTTCAAAAAGTTC